TTTCTTTCTCATGCTGAGCATTCATGGTTTCTATCATTTTCCTAAGTTCTGCTATTTTTTTTATCTCTTCTTTAGAGTCACTAAGCATGTCTTTCATTATGGTCACCATCTCTGTAGTTACCTGAGAAATTATTTCTGATTTGATTTTTTTTCTAAAAAAAAAATCATTTGTCTGCTTTGTTACTTCCACTGTTCCAAGTTCAGAGAGTCCAGGTGTGTGCCTTTCAGACTGTTCCCCCTCATTGCTCTGTGGGTTTGCCTTTGGTGAGCTAAAAGTTTGGGATTGCATCTTAGCTTATCTTCTCATTTATTTTCTTTTGTTTTTCCAGTACCAGGAATAGAACTCAGGACCTTGTGCTTGCCAGGCAGGCACAGGGCCACTGAGCTAAATCTTTGGCCCCTCATTTCCTTCCTTCCATAGTTTAATTCCTGGGTTGATGCCTCTAAATTACTTATGGTGAATAGCTTTATCACTAGTATTTAGAACCCTTAGGAAATGACTACTCAAAGTTGTCTTCCAGATGTAGCTGGTTTTTGGGTTTTGAATCTGTTGCAAGATCCTACCACTTCAATTTATTGGGGATGAGAAGTTGCTACCTACTTGGCCCAGCCCATAGTTTTTTGGCACTTACCTATAGTATTTTGTAAGACCCTTAGGGAATCTTAGTCTTGGTGTACCAGGAAGAACAACTGATTAGCACAGTCATATCACCTTGGCTAAAGTAGTGCAATCACCAATAACAATAGCATCATGTATAGCCTAGAAAATGACAAACGTGGTAACTATTAACCTGTCACTTTTGGGCCGGGGATTTAGCTCAGTGGTTTTGCTGCCTGCTGTGTGAGCCCAAGGACCCGAGTTTGATCCCTGATACAAAAAAAAAAAATTGTCACTTTTAACTGTATGAACTAGATTTGTGGTTATATAACAAAATGTAAAACAAGTCAGAAAACTGTATGCAGTAAATAAGCCCTCAGTATCGCAATTTTACCCTCAGGGGAGAAAATTTAAAAGGGGTTAGGGGGAAAATAGAGAAACAGAAGAAGAGATTAGAAGCAAGGCTGAGGACAAAGGAAGGTCACACAAACTTTGGGAAACTGGTGAAAAAGACAGGAGGGAAAGAGGAGGAAGAAATAAAAATGAGCAGATCAGAATAACAACAACAAAAAACTAGAAACTGTGTTCTTACTCATATAAAAACAAGAACAAACAATCAAGAAAAAAGAAAAAACAAAACAAAACAAAAACCAGAAAAGAGAGCCCAAAAAAGGACAAGAAAATAAGAAAAAAAAAATGTTCACCTTGAGGCGTGTCTTGGTAGACAGCATTGGCAGAGTCCAGATCCAAGTTGATTAATCCCAGAAAGTAGCTTTATGGCAGAGTAGTGTATATATAATTCCAGCAAGCCTGCATCTTTAGTTCCACTGAAGTTCAGGCTGGTTTTGGGCTTTGAGGCTTGAACCAGATTTGTTCAGCCTGCAACAGTCTGTGTGCCTCCTGCCGGCTTAAACTCAGCTGCCTGACGTCTTGCCAACCTGAATTCAGTAGCCTCACGGCCACACCAGGAACCACTAGATGAAGCCAGCCTGCAGCTGTTCTGAGTTTTGAGTTCAGTTGGCCCTTCTCCAAGATGGCTACTGGCCAGTCACCCTCTCCTGGGGGACATCTGAACCTGAGTAACTCACCAGCCACTGCAATCCACTGTGTCCACTGTTCCACTCCACTGGTATGCTTCTCTGTGGAGGCCTCTGAGGTTGCCAGTAGTCACTGCATCTGCAGGTTCGAGCCACCCCTCACACACAGTGCATCCAGGCTCAGGGAAAAAGTACCACCTGCCATCTTCTTTTTGAAATCTCTCTTTGCTCTTCCCATGGGCTTCACTTCTCTCTTCCGATCCTTACTAGGTCCCAGGGTCCCACTTCCCTTGTCTTCCTCACATTGCTATGTTTCAGTGTCAAGACACCAAATCTCAGAGAGGCTCTTTCTCTGCTGCGCACCATTCCACCAGTCTGTTTTTTTTCTTGAGAAAGAGCCTCACTAAGTCATTAAGTTGCCCAGGCTGGGGTTGAATTTGCCATCTTCCTGACTCAGTTTCCCAGAGTGCTGAGGTTACAGCCATGCACTACCTTACCTGGCTTTTAACTTTAGAGTTTTCTTTTAGTCCTGGGGATTTAACCCAGGGTCTTACCCTAGGCAAGTTCTCTACCACTGAGCTACATCTTAAGCCCTATTTCATGCTTTTTGAAATATTAAAAGTAATATTTTAAAAATTCCTCTTGGGCCGGGGCTGTGGTCCAGTGGTAAAATGTACACTTAGCATGCACATGCCCTTGTTTAATCCTCCATATAGCTTTGAGTGCCACTGGGAAGCGCTGCTTTAATCCTCATGTAGGGCCAACATGTCTATGTGTGTGGTTGGGTTGGCAGACGGATTGTTGGAACACATATATACATGTTTCCCTTACAGTCTCATCCATGGTCTGGTGTGATCCAAGGTGCCTATTCAGGAAGCCTCTGTGATGCCCTCTCTTGGTTATGAGTCCTCTTGAGTGGCGAATGTGAGTAGGAAGTGCACCAGGTGGCTGTCAGGTGCCTTATCCCCCCAAGGGCTGCTGCCATGGTTACTTCTGTGGGAGTAAAGACAGTCTTGGTCATACCTAAGACTTATTTATTTTCGCTGGGTGTGGTGGCGCATGCTTGTAATGCCAGCATTTGGGAGGCAGAGGCAGGAGGATTGCTGTGGGTTTGAGGCCAGCCTATGCTACATAGTGAGTTCAAGGCCAGTCTGAACTGTATAGTGAGACCCTGCCTCAAAAAAAAATACTATTTATTTGCTATGCATATACATATACATATACATATATATATATATATATATATTTTTTTTTTTCTTTTGTACTGGGGATCAAACTCAGGACCTTGTGCTTGCAAGGCAGGCGGTGAAACCACTGAGCTAAATCCCTAGCCCTATATATATATATATTTGAATTTAAGGAGGAAAATGTTTAAAAAGAAGCCTTTGATGGTTGTGGGAGGTACATTTGGCAATGTGATCTTTATTTGCATGTGTGCATTTGGTCATTCATGCAAAGGTTTCACATATATAGAGTTTATTCTGTGCAACAGCAAGTCTTCCACAGTGTCCCTAGGTTTCAAATTTAAAAACTTGTTGTGCGGGGCTAGGGATTTAGCTCAGTGGCGCTGCTGCTGCCTTGCAAGCGCAAGGTCCTGAGTTTGATCCCTGGTACTGAAAAAAACACAAAACTTGTTGTGGGGGCCTCACACCGCTAATCCTGCTGCTGCCAGCACTCAGGAGGCTGAGGCAGGAAGATCCAAAGCTCCAGGCCATTTCCCCCAGTCCCAGTGAAATAGGGGAAATAAATATAACTCCTCACCTTCTAGGTGTCAAATACGCTGAGTTCCTGTGCTCCAGAATCAAAGATTGAATTCTAAGGAACAGCGAAGGTTAAGAGGAGGAAAATTTTAGCTAGAGAGTGAGACGGAGCTCCTGAGAGACAGAAGGGGACCCAAAACTGGGTTACCAAGGAGCCTACTTCTCTAAGGAAGTTTCAGAGAGCAAAATCAAGAGCTGTATGTAATCCTGGGAGCCATGGAGAGCCTCGCTGGCAGTGGTGGGCATACCTGGTGGAAGGTGCCTAAGCACTTCTGGGCCCTGCTGGTCTTCTACATGGACACGGAGCAGGAGGAGCCCGTGTTTAGCTGGAGGGACCATGACCTGTGCATCAAGGAGCACAGCCACACTCTGCTCCACCTGGAGGACTGGGCCACCGCAGTGGGCCAGACCCATGTCACCGTGGTGGGGCCCCAGGGAGCTCAGTGCTAGCTGTAGGAGCTGCTGTGCAGCCTGGGCAGTGGGATGTGCAGCAGCCAGGCCCAGGACCATGTGATGCTGCATATGCAGCTGCCTGCTGAGCTGGGCTGAGCTGGCTGCCACCAGGCTGGGGCAGCCACACCTGAGGGACCTGAACCTGGCTGCCTGGCCGGGAGTGGCTGTCTCCCTGCAGCTGCCTTGGGCCCTCCTGGTCTGGTGGCTGCTCTGGTTTCTGCTGGAGCTCACTGTGCCCGTGAGCAGGGGAGTTACGAGCTGGGAGACAGGCGCTGCCCAGCCTGGAGACAGAGACAGGGAGATGTAGATGCTATGTGGATCCTGGCTCCTCCTGTGTCGGCAGATCGAGGCCTGCAGAAGCCCACATGGGAGAACTGCTCCTCTGCTGGAGACACTGGTGACACCAGCCACTGACTGAAGCCTGAGAGCTGTGAAGTCTGGATTGGGCTGTAGAGCAAGTTGGAGACTGGCCTGAGCTACATGGAGGACCGTGTCCCAAAAACTGAAATAATATTCAATCTGGGGGTGAGGGGAAGAGGATGCTGAATGTAATTAAGATATTATGTACATGTACCAAGTATTTGCATAATGTACTAAACAAAATAAAATTTATAAGAGGAAAAAAAGAAAAAAAAAATCCAGCTGCTGCTCCAGGCCTAGGTGGGAGTATTCCAAGTTTGAGGCCAGCCTGGGGAATGTGTGAGACCCTTTCTCAAAATAAAAATTTTTTTAAAAGGCTGAGGATGTAGCTCAGTGGTAGAGCACTTGCATGGCATGAGCAAGGCCTTATTTCCACCCCTAGCACCAAAAATAAAAACAGTTACCAGAACCAAAGTTCAGGTTTTGTTTTTTGTGGTGCTGTAGATGGAACCTAGGACTTTCCTCATGGTAGGCACGAGCTTTGCCACTGAGCTAAGCCCTTACTTACAAACTTCAGTTTTAAAGAAGTTCTGCTAGTTTGGATACTTCAAAGTGGCTGTTCTGAGACAGCTGGTTAATTATGACTCCATTTAGAAACCAGAGGACATAAGGAAGAAAAAATTTTTTGTTGTTGTTACTGGGGATCGAACTCGGGACCTTGCGCTTGCATGGCAGGTGCTGGAACCACTGAGCTAAATCCCTGGCCCCAGAAAAACTCTTTTTGTGTTACAGGTGAAGGGAGAAGAGGAGGAGGAGAACAATCTGGAAGTGCGAGAAACCAAAGTGAAAGGTAAAAGGTGAGCGCCACACAGAGCCCTGGGAGGCCCTGCTGGTATTTGGGCCTGGCGCAGGGAGGTGTTGCAGATCCCAGCGGCTTGTAAGTGATTGGGGTGCTGAGTGCCTAGGTAGTGGTGGAGCTGTCTAGTGAACTTCTGAAAAAACTGAATTTAGAGCAGCACCAGAAGTAGGAAGATTGGAGGGAACTGTTCTGGGAGAAGATGCAGTGCTCCTTGTATTTTGAGTAGTGTGGTTTACAGTGGTGACGTGGGTGTACCAATGTGAGTCCTGTAAAGTCACCCCATGTCAGGAGGTCGCCTGTGTTCTAAGCTTTGAGGACAAGTTCCATGGGATCAGGTTCAAATGCTTTCTGGTTTTTAACTTAATTTAATTTTTTTTGGTACCAGGGATCAGACTCAGGGCTTTGAGTTTGTGAGGCAGGTCCAGTGCCACTGAGCTAAATCCCTGACCCCTGCTTTCTGTTTTTTTAACTAATGTTTTCTGGGTCTGACAAAAATTGTTTTTTGTGTGTTGGCTTGGAAAACCCAGATTCATTTTAGAGTTTATACCTTATAAATTTTAATAGTTTCTAGACTATCTCGTTTTCTTTAAAATGCCAGTAGAGGGCCAGGGATTTAGCTCAGTGGCACTGCCTGCTTAGAAAGCGCAAGGTCCTGAGTTCAATCCCCGCTGCCGGAAAAAAATGCCAGTAGATTTTTTTCTGATTATGAGATGATACAAGCTTACTGTGAAACAAATTGGGGAAAAAAGCTTATTTTCCTCCTTTGACAAGGTTACTTTTAACATTTTCGTGGATGTCCTTTGAAATAATTTTCCTTCATGTACACCGCTGTATTGGATGCATTTTAAATGGAATCTGGGCTGGGGTTAGCTTCCATCTACAGCACCAGACACACAAAAAAGAAATGGGTTAAGTGGGGTCTTACTGTATCATGTGAAACTGATTTCCGGTACTTGCATTGTATGTGGACATCTTTCCCCATTTATATAGATCCATAGCTCCAAGTACTTTTTTTTTTTTTAGACAGTGTCTCGCTTGTAATTCAGACTGGTCTTAAGTTCACTTTGTAGCCCAGGCTGGCCACAAACTCTCAGTGATTCTCCTGCCTCAGCCTCCTGAGTGCTGGGATTATAGGCTTTTTTTTTTTGAGACAAGTGTCTCACTATGTGGTCCAGGTGGCTTTAAACGCGTGGTGATCCTCTTGTCTCAAGCTCCCAAGTGCTGAGATTACAAATGTGCTCCACCATGCTTGGCTGCCAAGCACATTTTAATTTTATTTTTATTGTTTTTTTTTTTTTTTTTTTACTGGGCATTGAACTCAGGACTTTGCACTTAAGAGGCAGGTGGTGACACCACTGAGCTAAATCTCCAGCCCAATTTTATTTTTATTTATATATACTTTTTCCAAGCACATTTTAAACTACTGCCTATATTCCATTGTGTAGTATTGTCCTTGAACTCACTATGTGGCTCAGGCTGGCCTCAAACTCTTCGGTGATCCTCCTGCCTCAGTTTCCTGAGTGCTAGGATTACAGGTGTGTACCACCATACTCAGCAGAATGGTTTTGACCATTAACACTGTTCTGCTGTTATAGACAAACCTGGGGTGAATATCTAGACATTTGTCTTAAAAGACATATTAAAAGATTAAAGGTGATCTCTTAAAAGTAACAGTTTTTGTTGTGAGAACAGAAGCTTTTGAACTGCTGGCTTTGGTCTCAGGTTCCTTATCCTAACTCCCTTGCTTTCTTCCTTCAGCGGGAGGTTCTTCACTGTCAAGCTCCCGGTTGCTCTTGATCCTGGGGCCAAGATTTCAGTGATTGTGGAAACGGTCTACACCCATGTGCTCCATCCTTATCCAACCCAGATAACCCAGTCAGAGAAGCAGTTCGTGGTGTTTGAGGGCAACCATTACTTCTACTCTCCCTATCCAACCAAGACCCAGACCATGCGTGTGAAGCTGGCCTCACGGAATGTGGAGAGCTACACCAAGCTGGGGAACCCCACATGCACAGAGGACCTCCTGGACTACGGGCCTTTCAGAGATTCCCCTGCCTACAGCCAGGTAGGCTTGGTGGGGTCCAGCTGGCCCTGTCTGGGCAGGGCCTGGGCAGTGGGGGTTACAGAGCTAAAGTAACTGAGATCATCCTTCTCGCCTGCTGTAAAGTGACCCCATCCAGTCTTCTCCAGAGCACCTCCCAGGTGGGGTGGGATCAGGGCAGAAGGAAGCAGGATGCTGTGACTGGATCTCATAGAAGATTGAGGCTTCAAGATGGGGAACTGGTGTGGTAGCAGGGCTGGCTGAGAGCTGCAGGGCCTTGGGCTTGGATCTGGAGAGAGCAGGAAGTCAGGCAGAAGATTTAAAACATGCAAAACTAGATGGCTGGTATGGTGAGGACCCCCTCACCATAGTGTTAGTTGCTGTTACCATGCTGCTGCAGCTGGCCCTCTTCTTTGTTTCTTTTTAAAGTATTTAAAGCAAATCTTAGGAGTCCTGTCATTTCACTGTCTGTTCTTCCACATCCTCTCCTAAAAGTATGGATATTTATGGCATTAAAGAGTTCCCTTTGTCAGTGTTTGTTCGGGTCTTGTCACTAATGGTGTGCAGTCAAAGCACCTGTCCAAAAGCCACCTGAAAGAATTGCTTTCTGTCTTTTGTATCTCTCAAGTGTTAGTTTGCTGTCAAGTTAAGGTCATTAGTTTTCGGTTATCTTCAACTTTTAGGAATTTGTATTTAGTTTTCTAGAATGTAAAAACATGATCTTGACTCTATAGCCAGTGGTAGAAAATAAGGTGTAGGCAGAGAATTCCGCTTCCTCTTCCCTGCCATTCTCTGTCCTCAGGACACTGTTTGGTTGCCCTCCTGAGTCTTGGTCTGCGAATGTGTGCTCCCCGTTTCTCAGTACAGCACCTGCAGCAGGTTGGGGAGCCACGATCCAGAATGCAGGGCCTACTCTGCCTCTGTGGAGGCCAGGGACTCTGCTCTAAGTGGTGCTTTTTCCAGCTTCATTCATTCTTTTTCCTTATTGGAGACACAGGTTGATTTCATGTTGGCACAGTAATTTGATGATCTTCCTTTTAAAGATTTAAATATTTTGGGCCGGGCATGTAGCGCAGTGGTGAGGGGCTTGTGTAGCATAGCATGTACAAGGCTCTGGGTTCAGTCCCCTGTATCACCAGAAGAAATGAGCTTTCCTACATTTAAATTAATAAACTGTTGCACTAGCCAAGCAGTCTATCCCTGAGCTCTACCCTGGCACTCATAGAGATCATGTTATTAATATAGAGGTCTTGTTATGTATAAAGCATTACCTAATTCTTTTCACTTCTTTCAGTGTTTTAATGTGTTACTCTGCAAACCATTTTCAGTGGCCGTCCCATGGATGTGCTGGCCCATAGATTATTTGCCAAGTTGTAACAGTTGGGCAGGTTTTTTCTATTTAGTACTATAATGTATATCTTTTCTTTGCATGCAACTTTTTAATTAATTTTTATAAGTATATGTTTCCAGTCATAATGATTACATTCCTTATGGAGAGTTGGCACATGTACATAACACATCTTAATTCTTGTATATAACTTTGTATATATTCTCAGGATAGTTTCTTTCTTTCTTTTTTTTTTTTTTGACACAAGGTCTAGCTATGTGTTCCAAGCTGGCTTTGGGAAGCTGTGCTTCCCAGGCTGGCCTCCAGCTCGTGGTGATCCTCCTGCCTCAGCCTCCCAGATTTTCTGAAGTAAAAAACAAAATCTTGGGCTGGGGTTTTTAGCTCAGTGGTTCCAAGCACAAGATCCCGAGTTCGATCCCCAGTACCAAAAAAAAAAAATCATTTTAGCAGTACTGGAGTTTGAACCCAAGGCCTTGAGCATGCTAGGCAAGTGCTGTACCACTGAGCTGTATCCCCAGCCTTTTTTATTTTGGGATGGTCTATTTAAGTTGCCCAGGCTGCCCTCAAGCTTGAGGTTCTCTTGCCTCAACCTCCCAAATAGTTCAGATTACAATTGCTTGCAAGCACAAGGACCTGAGTTCAATCCCTGGTACCAAAAAAACAAAAACAAAAACAAAAAAAAACAGATTACAAGTGTGCACCACTATACTCAGCTAAAGTAAAAATTTTCAAATCAAAACACGAACATTCTAAAAATCTTTCTTTTTTCTGGGTAGAGTTGGTGCTGGGGGATTGAACCCAGTGTCTTGCACTTGCTGAGCATATGCTATACCACCAAGCTGTACCCCAACCCATTCAAAGTCTCTTGCTGTGTTTTGCCTGACAATTCAAAGGATTTAGCCAGTCTCTTCTAACACCAGCGGTATGAAGCTCCCAGTTCTTTGTGCCCTTGCCTGTACTGCCACTAAATGCTATTGGACGTGATTATGAATGAGTTGAACATCAAAAAGTCTAATCATAGGGGCCGGGCATTTAGCTCAGTGGTTCCAGTGCCTGCCTTTTAAGCTCAAGGTCCCAAGTTCGATCCCCGGTACCAAAAAAAAGAAGTCTAATAATAGAATGAAAGAATAAAATCGTGAGAGCCGTGAGAGTTATCAAATTATTATATTGTTGTTGTTGTTGTTGTTGTTATTGTTATTATTATTATTATTATTAGTGGTGGTGGTGCTGGTGATTGAGCCCAGGGCCTTTGTATTGAGCTGTATCCCCAGACTGTTTTTTTTTTTTAAATTTTGAGCCAGGGTCTCACTAAGTTGCTGAGCTTCCCAGGCTTGCCTCACACTTGTGATTTTCCTGCCTCAGCCTCTCAGAGTGCTGGGATCACAGGCCTGCATCTCCAGGGGCAGCTAAAATATATATTGTTGTACCTTTTCCACGGACTTTTGGGAAGAAGGGTGTTTTTTTGACCCTTTGTTGTTTTATTTTGCATTTCTGTAGGGTCCTAGGTATATAGTCAAAGAAGGATATTAGAATGATTCAATAACCAGTTTTTTTTTTTTAAGTACTGAACTGACTTGCATGGTAAAATTAGTGAAGACCTTCAGGGATGCTGGAGGTATTTCTCTTTGGCCTCACGTGGAGGCAGAACTTGCACATAGTTGAATCCCTGAAGACCTAGTATTGCCCCTTAGGTTTGTGACCTTGAGCAAGGTTGTGGAGAGTACTAGGCCTCGAGGGCTAGGCTTTTATTTGTGTAATGAGGGTGAAGAGTGCTTGCTTCAGCCTGTTGTCGCAAGGATAAATGCTGTAACGCACCTATCTAGAGCTCATGAATGAATACCTCACACATGTATGTGTGGTGCCTCTGACATGTCAGCTTACATACGTGTTAGCTAGAAGCGCTTCTCCTGTGAACTTTTCCAGGTGGGTCTTTTCCATGTGAGAAAAATCCAGTAATGTTGTGTTTTACTTAACTTTTAATTTATCTTCTAGCTTATTGGATGGTACTTATGACTTTATTAGTGTTCATATATGTTTCCTAGTCAGAGTTTTAAAAAAATTTACAATTTAACCTTTTATTTTAAAACTAAAAATATTTAAAAAGCAATTTGAAAAGCTATTGTAGAAATTTAGAAAATAAAAACAGCAAGGAGAAAGTAGAAAAAAATCTGTAATTTTGCTTCCTTCCTATAGTGAGATTCTGCTTTTAGGTGTCTTTTTCTTATTTTATTTTTTTGAGGTGCTGGGGGTGGAGGCCAGGGCCTTGGACTACTTGTAGGCAAGCACTGTGGTGCCAAGCTCCAGCCCCAGCTCTCTTACATCATTACTGTGCTAAGTAACAGGTAGACATTTTGGCTTTTAAGATAGGGAAGGTATTTATATTGGAAATGACATAAGTCTGCCATCCTGTTTGTTCAGTTGACAGTGTACGATGAACATTTGTTGTCATCTGTCAGCAGACAGTCCTAGTAGTCACGACTCTAAAATGCTGCCAATGTTAGGTACTTCGGAGTTTAACCATGCTGTTGCTATCTCCAGATCATTTGATTTAAACTTCTGTTGTTTCCTTTGTTGCCAAAGAATGGTACTACTTCTTGTTTCCTTCCCTCCAGGATACTTTTAAAGTCCACTATGAGAACAACAGCCCCTTCCTGACCATCACCAGCATGACACGTGTCATTGAGGTCTCGCACTGGGGCAACATTGCGGTGGAGGAGAACGTGGACCTGAAGCACACGGGGGCTGTGCTGAAGGGACCTTTCTCGCGCTATGACTACCAGAGGCAGCCGGACAGCGGGATCTCCTCCATCCGCTCCTTCAAGGTGGACTCATTTCCTCTGCCCTCTCCTCACTCTGAAGCCAGCCAGATGTAGACAGTTCTGGGGGACGGACTGATAGTAATTGATAGGGTTAACCCTCCGAATCTTGAAAGAAACATTCCGTCATTGATACAGTTAGACCATTTAATTTTTTAATTTTTTTTGGTACCAGGGATTGAACTTGGGACCTTGCGCTTGCGTGGCAGGCGCTGGAACCACTGAGCTAAATCCCCGGACCTAGACCATTTAATTCTTAATTTTTTTGTTTGTTTTTTGCTCTTTTTTTTTTTTTTTTGCTCTTTTTTTTGTGCTGGGGATTGAACTCGGGTCCTTGCCGCTTGCGCAGCAGGCAATGAAACCACTGAGCTAAATCCCCAGCCCTGTTTTTTGTTTTTTGAGACAGTCTCACTTTGTGGTCCAGGCTGGCTTCAAACTCACCATGTAGCCCAGGCTGGCATCAAGCTCACGATCCTCCTGCCTCAGCCTTCCAAGTGTGGACATTATAGGCATGGGCCACCACAGAGACCATAGACTGTGGTTTTTTTTGTTTTGGTACTGGGGATCGAACTCGGGACCTTGCGCTTGCAAGGCAGGCAGCGGAACCACTGAGCTAGATCCCCGGCCCTAGACTGTATTTTTAAAGAAAGTACTAAGGGCTGGGGATTTAGCTCAGTGGTTTCGTCGCCTGCTGTGCAAGCGCAAGGACTCAAGTTTGACCCCGGTACCAAAAAAATAAAATAAAATAAAAATAAAGAAAGTACTAATACAGGAAAAGCATACTCGGTACTACCACTTAATCACTAATATTGCAGGCATATTTGAGATAATACTTTTCTTGAATGTTTTTTAAAAAAACATTTAATCATGCTATATATGTAGTTTTATATCTTTTTCGTCTCATAAGTGAAATTTTACAAACATTTTCAATGTATTTACAAATTACAGAAGGGCACACTATATGAACAGAGGTACTATCAAAATAATACTTGCATGGGCTGGGGATTTAGATCAGTGGCACTGTGCCTGCCTTGCAGGTGCAAGATCCTGAGTTTGATCACCGGTACCAAAATAACAGACAAATAAAAAAACCCTAAAATAATACTTGCAGATTTGGAAGATACAGTAATATTACCTGGGTATCTTCCTGAAGGAATTAAGACATCTCATATTACAGTGATCCATGCATGCCTGTGTTGATAGCAGCACAACTCAAGCTAAATCTTGGAAGTGGCCTGTATGTCCTTCAATAGGTTTCTATATAGATAATGCTACTACTCAGCCATAAAGGAGGGGAAACTTGAGGCATTTGTAAGAAAGTGGATGCAGCCTGAGACCATCATGTTAAGTGCAATAAATGAGACATACAAGGTCATTTCTCTTATATAAGAAACCCAAAGTATAAATAAAGAGCAAAATAAAAGATAACAGGAAGCAGGAAGATGAACTGTGGAGATGGAAAGGGATTTGGGAATGGGGAAGACGGGAGGTTGGGGCAGGAAAGGGAAGTTAAAAAGGACTGAGAGGGATATGTATGTGTACAGTTCCCCAAGCGGAGTGTAATTCGTACGTGTTGGAAGCACATACTAATAAAAATAACAAAGAAAAGAACGAACCCTACCACCTAATAATTTGATGTCACCTCTGTCTTTAGTTCCCCTCTATGCAAAATAGCTTGCAGTATTATTTTTACCTTTGCATTAAATCTACAGTATTCACAGTGATATTTAAAAATCTCTAATTACTGTTTATAAGATTTTGTCACTTACCATCCTTGATTGAGAAGTAGATGTGATCTCTAGAAATCCAGAGGCTTTCTTTGTCAGGCTGATTGCTCATGGTTGGGAAGTGCTTGTTTGGGCAGTAGTAAGTTCTGGGGTGTGGACAGTCGTGGCTGAGCTCACGGGATACCCCTTTCTGCAGACCATCCTCCCTGCGGCTGCCCAGGATGTCTATTACCGAGATGAGATTGGCAATGTGTCCACCAGCCACCTCCTGATCTTGGACGACTCCGTGGAGATGGAGATCCGGCCCCGTTTCCCCCTGTTCGGCGGGTGGAAGACACATTACATTGTAGGCTACAACCTGCCCAGCTACGAGTACCTCTACAATTTGGGTGAGTCTCCAGACACCCGGGGTGCAGGAGCAAAGGAGAGGCTACCTTTGTCTTTAACTTGGAGTTAAAATCCCCTCCCCTTTTTTTACTAGTTGTTCTTGAGTGTTCTCTTGTCATTTTTCGGAAGACTGGGATAACAGGAAAACTGTGGCTGGGCACAGATTGCTGTTCTAAAAGTAATACCTGTAAATGGTAACCAGCTGATGTAGTGTGGTAAAAAAATCCTCTTTGCACTTCAGCTCTCATCAAGTGGAGGTGCTTAAATTCTTTTAAGTCGTTTTTATTTTTATTTTTGGTACGGGGAATCTAACTTGGGACCTTGGCCCCTTAAGTGGTTTTTAATTTGAGGGTTTTTTGGTGGTGCTGGAGATGGAACCCAAGGTCTTGTATATCTTAGGTAAGTGTTCTACCACTGAGCCCCACCCCCAGCCCTTAATTTGAGATATTGAAAAAATATAGAAAAATTGAGAGGATAGTGAAAAAATACTTTCATAAAGCACAAGGTTTTGCTATGTAGTCCAGGCTTGCCTTGAACTTACTGTGTAGCCCAGGCTGGCCTCAGACTTGCAGGGATTCTCCTGCCTCAGCCTCCCGAGTGCTGGGATGACAGGTGTTTGCCACCAGGTGTGATTCCTGTTTTCCTTTTTTTTTTTGGTACCAGGGATCGAACTCAGGACTTTGCGCTTGCCAAGCAGGCGGTAGAACCACTGAGCTAAATCCCCAGTCCCTCCCCCCACTTTTTTTTTAAAGGGGGAAGAGGTTTATTTAGCTCACAGTTTGTAGAGGTTTTAGTCCATAATCAGCTGGCTCCAAGGCAGACTGATACATGGTAGAGCAGCATCAGAGAAGAAACAGTTCATGGGTCCCACAGAGTGGCAAAAGCCTGCCTTTTAAAAAATTCTTTTAACCACACTAAACAAATGATGCATAGCTCAGTGAATTACTACAAGAGGAATATCTTTTTAAAAATTTTTTTAAATATTTAAATGAAACAAGGTCTTACTACGTCGTAGTTTAGGCTGGCCTTGAACTCACTATGTAGCCCAGGTTGGCCTTGAACTCCCAGCAATCCTACTGCCTCAGCCTCCTGAGAGCTGGGATTACAGGCATGCGCTACCACACCCAGCTAAGAGGAATACCTTTTAAACACCACCCAGTTCAAGAAATAAAAATTTATCAAGCAGCCATGGTATGAGCCCCCATAGTCAGTCTGAGGTAGGAGGATGGCTGGAGCTCAGAAGTTTGAATCCTACTTGGGCAAGATAGCGAGACCCCATCTTGAAAAAAAGAAAAATCAACATTTGCCTGCTACTCAAAGGTCCTCTGTATTTCTTCCTTTTCCACAAAGAAGTCAACATGCTGACTTTTAGTACATGTTGGATTTTCTTCATAGTTGTAACCTGAAGTGTCTGTCTCTAGATACTATTAAGTTTGGCCCTCTTGGAAATACTCATCTTAGTCTATTTTGTCTGTTAGTATTCTTGGGTGTTTTCAGTTCATTTCCTGAAGCCCTTGAGCCACCTGCAGTGAACCTATAGTCTGGATTCTGCTCATTGGACCTCTGTCTCCTGCAAACTGGCAGCTGTTTCTGAGACTTGTTAGGCCCAGGTCCTGTCCCCTTAGCAGATTAGAGGTGATAATATATCCTCCTGCTAGAAGGTGAACAATTGGGTTGGTTCTGTAGTTTTGAGGCAAGCTGAAGCTTAGGCTGGACTTGAACTTGCAGTGTAGCTCAGGGTGACCTGAAATTAACAATCTTCCTGCCTCAGCCTCCTGAATCCCAGTGTGGCAGGTGTGCACCATCACGCCTGGCCGCAGTCCTGTTCAGTGTCTCTTTTGGCTTTTTTGTTGTTGTTCCAGGGATCAAACTCGGGACCTTGTGCTTGTGAGGCAGGCACTGGAACCACTGAGCTAAATCCTCGGCCTCTCCTTTTGTAATACTCAGTTCCTAGATGTTGTATGTTACTGGGGACAGCAGATCACTGCTCTAACTCTAGCATTTCTTTTTCATTTGTTAGGAAGGATTTAGGAGACACTTCCCCTACTTGCCTACTTGGAGTCCCAATGTGCAGTTCAAGAATCAGGATAAATGCTTGATTCTTCTTATTTATTAGGTGACTAGTTCCTCTTTTTTTTTGGCGTTTTCACACAGTCTCTCTGTGTAGTTCAGATTGGGCTTGAACTCACTATGTAGCCTAGGAACTCATGGTGATTCTCCTGCCTCAGCCTCCCAAGTGCTGGGATTACAGATGTGCCCCACCACACCTGGCTCTTTTTTTCTTAAGTGGTGCTGGGGATTGAACCCAGGGCAACATGGACGTTAGACAAGTGCTATACAACTGAGCTACACTCCAAGCCCAGTTTTGAAATTAATTATTATATACCTTAAGATTTAAACACCCAAAAAAAAAAAAAAGGATTTAAACATCCTGTGGGTTTCCTTCATTCCTTTGCAATTTTTTTTTTGGGGTACCAGGGATCAAACTCAGGACCTTGCACTTGTGAGGCAGACTCAGTGCTACTGAGCTAAATCCCTGGCTCCTTTGCAGTTTTGATCCTAGTTGATGTTTGTTCTCTTCCATCTTTAGCCAGTGACCTCTTCAAACTAAATCCCAGTCTTTCCTCACTTTCACTTGATCTTAGCCAAAAGACCAGGAAGCGATTCTCCTTGCTTTCTTGCTGTCCTAGGAAAAGACATTTCGGTTCAACCTGTTTTCTGCTCCAGACTTGTTTTTCCAGGAAGCTCTGCTTCATCCTGGGAAAATGGCATTTCAGGAGCATAACGTGAGAAGCCAGGGAGGCTCCTTGCTCTGAGGTCGGTCACATTCTAGGCTTTTGATCCATTTTGCTCATGTGCCTTGAGCCATGTGGAGAGAACACAATTCCCAATGGGTCTTTGCTCTCCGTTACATCAGCCTGGCTCCGTGTGTAAGCACAGGTTCGGAGGCCATGGGATGATGGTTAGTTTCATAATTAGTCATTTGTTTTATTCCATCTGCCAACTTCATAAAGTTTTTGAAACTTGAACCCTTGCTTTTTGGAATGCTGTGTGGATATTGTCAGAACAGACAGCACTGTCTAGGGTGCTTTCTCCGTGGTCCTGGCTGTCCAGTGCACTGTGTGATGCTCCCCAATTGTCCACTGGTCACTTTTGTCAGCCACAGCTCCTTTCTGCTAGGTTCCTCGCCAGGCCTTATGGGAACGTGTTCTTGTCTGTTGCTGCAGGTTGTGCCTTGTGTACTTATAAGCCACTTTTGATGAAATTCACCTCCTTCCCTGAATATCTTAAATATATTACTTCAGTTTTGGGGAGAAGTATAGTGTTGCCATCAAAGTCTAATGATAATCTGATTTTCCCCCTTACAAGTCTCTTGCTGCTTTTTGGGGGTAAACATGTATACGAGGGGTTGACTGAAAAATATGATGAATGTTTAAATAAAAATTTATTACAGTGAAAGACACATTGCCGTATCCTCCCAGAAATCTCCCCCTTGCTTCAAACACAATTACCTCATGGTTCTTGCCACTTTCTGGAGTCTTCTTTTCCTGAGTGTCTTAACCGGTGTGATCAGAAATATGGTGAGTGCTACTGTCAAATGCCCCCAACAGAAAGGCAGGCAGTAAAAATGACGCTGTGCCCTTGTCCACCTTATTCACTGGGTCTGGCACTGTTTGACTTCCGGCTCTTCCCCAAAGTCAAAATAACCATGAAGGGTAAACATTTTGAATTTTTTTAGGACACCAAGGCAGCCATGGTGGTGCAACTAAACACAAGAGACGGGCTTCCAGAACTGCTTCAGAAAGTAGCAGGGACAACAGCAGGAGTGTGTGTGCAGGGAGGGGATTTACGGCAGTGCATCTTGTGCCGAAATAAGCACACACTGGGCATTCGTGTATCCTCAGGCCCCAGAGCAGCTGCCAATGGAAACTGGGCACATGATTGTGGGAAGGAGGGTGCGGGGCAGGGTGGGGAAGGATAGGGGACGAGGGGAGCCCCTGGCCCATCTGCTACCCGCTGGATGCCACACCTGGCTCTCCTGCAGCTCCCAGGAGGAGAGGCTTAGTTTGGCTCCGCCCTCTGTTCCTTTTTATGTAGCTGCTGAAAGGGACTCTATTAAAAAGTCTGATGGTTTTACTGGAACTTAGCTTGGCAGCACCTGTCCTGGATGTGCGTTGTGCTTTTTGAGCTTGTAGTTCCGAACCTTTCTGAAGGTTTTCTCCTTTGGTGGGGGGGTTCTCATTATTATTATTATTATTTTTCTTTTTAGAAGGCAGTGAGGCACAGACTCTTCTCATGGGTGCAGGTCGACTGAGGACAAGCAACCTCTCAGTGGTGAACAAAGAACAGGCAGGGAATTTTATAGGGGATTGGGAAGGGGTCTGGCAGGTACAGGGGTCGGAGCAAATATTTGTGGTCGGGGTCCATGCAACAGTCAGGGGAAATGTGTGAGTGTTGTTGGGTCCCTTGGCACTGGGAAGACGTTGTGCTGTGCTTTGTGGTCTTTTCTTCTTTCTGTACCATCCTTTCTGCATTCTGTGTGTGAGGACATGGCACAGCCCGTATCTAGGTGGAGATGGCAGGACGTATACCTAGTCTTCAGCCACCTGAAGGAGTGGCATGTCTTTGCTGAGGGCTGTGGGTTTTTGTATCTGCTAAAACTAGCTGTCCGTGGGCACCTCGGCTGGCTCCATGTCTTGGCTACTGTGAATTGTGCTGTAGTAAATGTGGTTATGGTATGTGGGTATCCCTGTGGCATACTGGCTTCAATGCCTGCTAGACATTCAAAATGCTGTTTTTGTTCTCTAAACTCGAAGAATGAATTCTAGGGACAATGGAGGTTAAGAGTAGGAAGAATTTTTTTTTTTTTTTTTTTTGGTACTGGGGATCGAACTCAGGTCCTTGTGCTTGTGCAGCAGGCAACAAAACCACTAAGCTAAATCCCCGGCCCTAAGAATTATTTTTTTATTTAAAAAATTTTTTTTATTAGTACACGTTCGTAGTACATAATGATTACATTCATTACATTCAATTGGTACCTGTACATAACAAACACATCTTAATTCTTGTACTTCCTCTTCTCTTCCATCTTCATCTATCTCTTGATACCTTTTCCATTTGCAAAAAATCTAGCTCTCTGTTTCCTATTATCCATCTTTTAACTTGCTCTTTAAATTTTTTATACTTTGGGTTTCTCATGTAAGAGAAATGATGTGATATATGTATATAGTTTTTGGTACTGGGAATTGAACTCAGGACCTTGTGCTTATGAGGCAGGTGACAGAACCACTGAGCTAAATCCCCAGCCCAAATTTATCCTTCTTTAGAGCAGAGTAGTATTTCATTGTGTATAAATATCATATTTAGGAAGGATTTATTGAGAGAAAGACAGCTGCTGTCTAAGACAGAAGGGGTGACATAGGGGAATAGATGTTACTCCCATCATGCTAGATGTCAGATATGGCGAATTTGCCTTAAGGAACAACAGAGGCTAAGAGTAGGAAAATTTATTGGAGAATAAGAATTAGGAATAAGAATAGCTCCTGGGAGACAGGAGAGGTCCCAAATGGGTTGCCCTCTCATTATTTCTTTATTGGAGCTTTTCCTGTCTTCACTGTTTGGCATGTTCTCTTGAATCTTCTTTCTTTAAAATCATTCTTCTTCTTCCCTTTTCTTTACTGTAGGGCAGTACCTGCTGTGTTTATTCATTCATTATTTCATCTGCCTTACCTTTTTTTTTTTTTTTTTAAGAGTAGGAAAAATTTATTGAGGGAAAGAAAGCTTCTAAGAGAGACAGAAGGGGGACCGGAAAGTGGGTTGCCCCAAGATAATTCTTTTATTTCTAAGGTTTTTTCCTGATTTCTATCATTTTTCTAGTTCTGATTTATATTATTTTTTTCTTGACTTTTGTTATTTCCCTTATCTTTAGCCTGTTTTGGACAGTAGCAGCAGTTTTGTTGTTTTCCTTTTTAACATTAGCAAAGTTTTATTAGATTTTTTTTTTTTTTTGATACTGGGGATCAAACTCAGGTCCTTGCACTTGCGAGGCAGGCGCTGGAACCACGAGCTAATTCCCTGGCTTTAGCAAAATTTTATTAAAGGTAGGGAAAGAAACAGGCTCTACAGAGCGAGTTTGGGCCAAATAAAAGTAGGAAAAGAAGTGCACCCTATAGCGTGAGGGCGGGCCATCCATGCAAGAGAGAACACAATGGCCAGTAGCAGCAGCTTTGGTGGCTTTGTGGATATGTCTTTGTGGTACACTTCCATTTTCTCTAGGGATGTTTTCTGTTGCTGATTTTTCTTTTTTTTTTTATTTTGGTACCAGGGATCGAACTCAGGACCTTGAGCTTACAAGGCAAGCGCCAGAACCACTGAGCTAAATCCCCGGCCCTGTTGCTGATTTTTCCTTGTATAACTTCTCAGCAGGAGGCACCTTTATACTTACTGGTTTTCCTGTGAGCTTTAGGCAGATGGTGACTCAGGACAGCTCTTACAACTGCAGATCTCTCTTGTTATGGTGTGCTCTTCAGCAACACATGGCTACTTGCTGAGCTTTCCCGAGACTGGTTTTCCCTGTCTGTCATCCCTGTTGAACTCCGTCTTGGCTGTGCTCAGCTGTTTGTCCTCAGAGTAGGGCACTGTCTCTGAAAGGGCCATCTGGTGGGCCCTGGACCACCCAGAGCTGCGGCCCTGCTCTCAGGGTACCTGCTACCAGTCAGTCCCTAGGGTCTCCCTGCTTCCCTCTTTTTTTTTTTTCCCCTGCTTCCCTCTTGTAGACACTGACACTGTGTGGGCCTCATGGTTTCTGGTGTTATCCCCCCTGCCCCTCCCTGGCTTGGGTGTTTATGGAGACACCTGTGGCCTAGTTTGGTTGTCATGTGGTGTGGGGGCCCTTGGCTTTGCTGTTGTTCGCTGTCTTCCTGTGAGAACTAGAGAGGTCCCACACCTGTGACCCCTCAGTGTCTACTGCCCATCAGCCTTAGATGGCCCCTCTTCTCACCCTTTTGTGGGGCTTCATACACTGTGCTTGTTTTTTCTCCTTTCTGGGGTGTGGGGGTGCTTGCTGGGAATGGAACCCAGGGCCTTGCACATGCCAGGCAAGTGCTCTTCTGCCTCACCATCTGTCCTTTGCTGTCTCGACTGGTGTTCACATACCTGTCCGCATCTGCTTGGTCCTGCAGGTGACCAGTATGCACTGAAGATGCGGTTCGTGGACCATGTGTTTGATGAGCAAGTGATCGATTCCCTGATGGTGAAGATCATCCTGCCCGAGGGCGCCAAGTGAGTGGCTGTCCCTGTCCAGGTTTGGTGCTGCCTTCTGGTGCCTCAAGGGGAACCTGTGTTCTAGGGCTGTATAGCGGGTACTCATTGAACAGCTTGGCCTGAGAAACCAGCGGGGAGCCTCCTGATTGTAGTTTAAAAGGAAATTAGACTCAAAGGAGGACCCAAGGGTCAAGTACTACTAAGTCTTCTGGCGGCATGGTACCTTCATGTGACCGGTGCATTGTCCACATCAGAGTGGTAGCGGCACCTGAGGGCATGGCGCATCAGGAAGGAATGTGGAGTTCTGACAGCCAGCCAGACCTGTGTCGTGTGGGCAGAGTACAGAGGAATAGTGGTGTCATGGCCTGGATCTCTGCTGGACCAGGGGGAGCCCGGGCTCACACGGGCAGGAGCTCGGGTGGTCACAAACAAGGCTGCCGGTAGTTTGAGCAGAGGGCGTTATGGGGAGGGTAGGAACGTGTCATCCAGTGATGTCAGATGTTGAGGAGCCAGGCTTTGGGAAGAGACCCAGAGCATCTCAAGTCCATCTGGTAGGAACTGATGGGCACAAAGGCACCTGCTTGTGGTCTGTGTGACTTTGCTCTAGGTCCCCTTCGCCCCATCTTCTGGGCTCTGGCATTCCTGTGTCCACACTGGTCCCAGGATGAGGCTCCTGGAGCAACTCTCCTGTGAATGGGGTCCTGTGGGGTAGGTTGTGCTCCTTAGCAGGAGGGACAGCAGCCTGGGCCGAGGACAGCAGTGCATGTCCACCAGCTCTGCGAGGTGGCACCATTCAAGGTGGGAAGAGGAGCCAGTGAGGGCCTCCTGAGGGACACCTGAGTCCCCAAGAGACTCAGTATAGAGCATGCAGGAGGGCTGTGTTGCCTGGACCCCCAAGGGCCCTGGGGCGACTTGATTCTGCTGACACCTGATCCCCAAGCCCCCTGGCAGTGCCCAGCTGTCTAGAGGAGCAGGGGAGAAGGGTAGCTTAGTGACCCCAAGGACCCAGCCACACCCTGTCTGTCCACATCCAGGAACATCCAGGTCAACAGCCCCTACGAGATCACTCGGGCCCCGGATGAGCTGCACTACACCTACCTGGACACCTTTGGCCGCCCCGTGATCGTGGCCTACAAGAGAAACCTGGTAGAGCAGCATATCCAGGACATTGTGGTGCGTGGCCCTGCCCTGCCATCCTCACGTCCAGGTCCCCATGTTCTGCAGTCCCAGCGCCCTCTGATTCCCTGCTCTCTCCAGGTGCACTACACCTTTAATAAGGTGCTCATGCTGCAGGAGCCCCTGCTGGTGGTGGCTGCTTTCTACATTCTCTTCTTCACCGTCATCATCTACGTGCGCCTGGACTTCTCCATCACCAAGGTACCTGGCTGCTGTGCTGCCCTTGTCAGTCTACCTTTCGCGCCCTTGGTGCTGGTTTCAACAGCCTGACCTGAGCATGCCCGGGGCCAGACTCTGTCACCAGAAACTCTCCCGCTTGGGGCCTCTGTCCATCCTTTCCCTTATGCCATGGCCACCAGGGTATCCTGTGAGGTCCCTGCTTTCTGTCTGGCCTGGTTCTGAGTTCTCAGGCGAGGTGGGGAAATTGACCAGCTGACCTGGAGGTGGGATACCCTCTGTCCTCAGGGACACAGCCACGTGGGTGTCAGCAGCCTTTTTTTCCCTCCCTTGGGCACTGCTCGCTCACCAGCTGGGCTCCCGTCTTTCCCAGACCACGTTGCACTGCACCACATCTTTAGTCTCCTCCTGTGTCTCTCCGTTCCTTCATTTCCTATTCTTCCCTGATGTTGCCAGCATTACCCGTTATGAGAGCCCTCGGCTCTGCTGCGGGCACCAGTAGTAGGCACTCAGGGTCTGGTGGGCACAGCAGGAGGAAACAGCAGGCTGCCGGTGGTGTGTGAGGCCTGGGGCTTCAGGTTGGCACAGCTGTGCTCTCTATGGTGGCACCGGGTGCAGAGCAGCTGCCCTGAGGAGTCCTTGGCAGCACAACGGGAGGGACCTGTGGTAGCAGCAGGGTTTCCCACTGCATTGTGGGGGCAGCTGCTGGCCAAACTTGTCCTTTGTGCAGAGGAGTCATCCCCATTTATCTTTCGACAGCGTTTTGCTATGTAATTCAGGCTGGTCTCGAACTCACTATGTAGTCCAGGCAGGCCTCAAACTGGTAGCAATCCTCTTGCCTCAGCCTCCTGAGTGCTGGGATTACAGGTGTGTGCCTGGGTGTTTCATTGATTTTTATTTTTATTTTTATTTTTATTTTTTGTTTCTTGGAGAAAGGATCTCACTATATATTTCAGGCTGGCCTTGAACTCACAGGTGATCCTCCTGCCTCAGCCTTCTGAGTACTGGGATTACAGGCATGTGCCACCACACCTGGCTTTGATTTTTGGGGGGGGGGGGTTACTGGGGATCGAACTTGGGTTCTTGCGCTTGCACAGTAGGCGGCGAAACCACTGAGCTAAATCCCCAGCCTATGGCTTTGACTTTTAATTTGTTTTGTTTTACTGATTTTAAAAACTTTTGAAGAATAAAAAGAATTTGTATTTAATATAATCATTTACTATATTCTGTTCTTTTTTTTTTGGTACCAAGGATCGAACTCGGGTCCTTGTGTGAGCCAGGCAGCAGGACCACTGAGCTAAATCTCCGACCCTCATTTACTATATTTTGCTGAATGATTTGAGGGTAAATTGCAAACACACCCCTTTATCCTTGAACACTCAGGCATGTATGTGACACCAAATCATAACACAGTGACCAAATTTCAGAAATAGGATGCTACTAAAACAGCACCTGTGGGACAGATTGTCCCAGGGGTAAGTTCTATAGCAGTGTGTTCTGTTTTTTGGCAGTACTGGCGATTGAACTTGGAACCTCTGCATTCCCAGAACTGTTTTATTTTTCGAGACAAGGTCTCACTAAGTCACCAAATTGCCCAGGCTTGGCTCATCCTTGGAATCCTCCTCCTCAGCCTTTGAGAGTGCTGGGATCCTAGGTGTGCACCATCACGCCAGGCTCTCGTAGCAGTTATTTCCATGGTCAGAATTCTGTTGAGAATCATGTGTGCATTTGAATGTCAGGTCTCTTTACTCTAGAACAGTTGATCAGCCTTTCTTTGATTTATCAACCCTGGCATTTTAGGGGTGGAGACCAGTTTTGTGGAATGTCCTTTAATTCAGGTTAAGCTCATATTTCTTCTGAGGAAATTGACCAGAACGCTGTAAAGTAATCCGGTGTCTACAGTGTGTCATGGCAGCAGGTCACACCCTTGGTGACATTCATTTTTCCTTCCTGGTTAAGCTGGGGCCTGTCTGGTTTCTTTACTGTAAGGTTATTCTTTTCTCTTTGTAATTAGTATGCATTTGAGACTGTATAAGAGATGACCAAAATGCATGGTGAATGTTTAAAAAATACTTATTACAGTAAAAGACACATGGCCATGAATCCCCCTTGGACACTGCCCTCACTTCTCACACACTCATTCCATGGTTCTTGCTGCTTTCTGCAACAGTTCTGGAGTCCTCTCTCCTGAGTGTCTGTATGAGGTGTGATCAGAAGTACAGTAAACGCTGCCCAGTGCCACCCAACAGAAAGGCAGGCTCATAAAACTTGACGGCGTGTCCTCATCCCCTTTTTCATCAGATCTGGCACCCTGCAACGTCTGATTCTTCCTCAAAGTCAAAATGACTGTGAAAAGGAAATGTTTTGAATCAGCCACAACTCAACTAAAGACACTCACAGAAGACGACTGCAGAACTGCTGCAGAAAGCAGCAAGAACGATGGGATCAGTGTGTTTGAAGTGTGTGTGGGGGTGTTTCCAGGGTGATTCATGACAGTGCCTTTTACAGTAATAAATTTTAAAAAATTATTCACTTTATTTTTCAACCTTGCTGAGTATAAATATTGCTGATCAATAGTATAATATTGATTATTGTCTGAGTTTGCTTATTAGTGTGATGGTTGCCACTAATCTGGCTCCCTTTCCATTACTAGATGGCTTTACTTACATTAGTAGCTAGAAAGGTTTCTCCTTGGCTGGTTGATTGCATACAGGGTTACTATCCACTGATGCTGTTGGTTTTGATGTTCATATCATCTCAGGTTAGACCGTCTTTCACATATCCTCTTTTTGTTTTGTTTTCTGAGCATTTCTTTACATTTGGGACAACAGCCTGTTTATGTGTGTCTCACATTCTTCTCCCAGGAGCCCCAGTTGCTTTGGTGGGGAGTGGTGCCTAGAGACCACGCAGTGTCTGTGAGCTGTGGTGATCATTGTTGATGAGGTGATCCTTGCTTCTAGTCCCTTTCAGCAGACAGCTAGGAAGAAATAGTGAAATTGAATTAATACTGGCGCCTCTCACGTAGTACAACGCCCTGGGATTTTGTTAGTCTTCCTTATTGCTTCTCTCAAATCCAAGAGCATGAGTTTATTCATTTGCTGGGGTCTATACACACAGCAGTTACACAACTGCCCCCACCACACCCCAGCAGCAAACCCGATAGTGACCCCAGTTGATCTGCAGTTCTTGCATCCTTAGAGTGTTGTGATGAAGCTGTGGCCCCACAGAACCTGGATTGGCCTACTGTCTTCCTGTGTTACTCATTTGAAGGGTTTTGGGTTGTTTTTTGAGACAGGGTCTTGCAATATAGTTTGGGCTGGCCTTGAACTCACTGTGTAGCCCAGGCTGGCCTTGAACTTGTGTGGATCATCCTGCTTCAAGACTCTCCTGAGTGCTGGGACAATCGGCGTGTATCACCATGCCCGGAAGGTCCATTTATTTATGTTGGAATTTTATTCTGGTTTCTGCTCCATTGTTGTTAATATTTAATTTTTACTATGAATTCACAGGTTCTAATTTAAAACTCAAAGATGGCACAGTTGATTTCATTCTTTCTCACCCCTACCTGTCGGAAAAAATCAATTTCATCAGTCCCTGGTGTTCCTGATTTTAGAAAAACAAACATTAGGGGCCAGGGATTTAGCTCAGTGGCACCATGCCTGCCTTGCAAGCACAAGGTCGTAAGTTCGATCCCTGGTACCAAAAAAAAGCCAAACAAAAACGTATACATTTTTGTGCTGCTTTTTCCTTTGAGAAGTCTGTCCTGGGAACCCCATGTCCTGTCGATAGCATGCCTCTTCTTCTCTGCTTCCTGTGCTTCAGAGAAGCCCAGCATGGCTGGGCCGAGGTTTCCTCATCAGTTAGTTCTTGCTGTACTTGTTGTCTTACTGCAGAGCTTTGATGATTTCTTGGGGACAGAGTAGTTGGGAGCCAGTTGACAAAGTGCAGACCTGAGTCAGCCTGTGAGCTGAGAAGTTAGGAGTGGGTATGGACGTGAGGTGGGCGGTCTGGGCAGTGTAGGCCTCATGTAGGGCCACAGCTGGCAGGGCGTTCATGCTTTTCCCTGGGGCCCTGCGAACCCCCTAAAGGTTTTAAGAGACTGCCTCCTTGGAGCCTTTCCTCAGCACCTTGCCTGGTCGTCCATGGTGCACTCCAGCATGGTGTGCTGTCTCCCTTCATGTCTGCGTGTCCTGCGGGACTGCACAGTGAACATCGGCTTCATCATCACGGCCCTCCTCTCATCTGTTGCCGAGTCTGGGCCTGACTCAGTGTTGGGAGGGTTTGATTCCCTGATTTGCCGAGCAGAGGACTTTCTGTCTGGGTGGCTTACAGTGTCAGCCGTCTCTCTGTCCTCCAGGATCCAGCCGCGGAGGCCAGGATGAAAGTGGCCTGCATCACTGAGCAGGTCTTGACCCTGGTCAACAAGAGGATAGGCCTCTACCGCCACTTCGACGAGACCATAAATCGGTACAAGCAGTCCCGTGATGTGTCCACCCTCAACAGCAGCAAGAAGAGCCTGGAGACGGAGCACAAGGCCCTGACCAGCGAGATCGCACTGCTGCAGTCCAGGCTGAAGACTGAGGGCTCTGACCTGTGCGACAGAGTAAGTGGCTGGTGTGCGGCCCTCCCTGCCAGCACTGGGCCCTGCCGTCAAGAGCAGCAGCCTGCTCCTCTGTCCCAGTGGGCCCTGGGGGCTCTCCTGCTCCCTGTGTCCTGTGGGGTGAGATTGCAGCCTGCCGTGGGCTTGGTGTGTTGAGGTCCTGGCATGAGCTGAACTGGGGAGACTGCTGCCTGCTCGGTGCTCTGTGCACACTGCTAGTGTGGAGAGCAGCTGCTCCTCCCTGCATGTAGACTGCTCTGGGGGCGGTGGAAGAACCCAGATGTAACCATCTCAGGTTCAAATCCAGGCTCCAGTTCCAACTGTGTGAGCCAGCGCAGGCTGCCTCCGTTCTATGTCCCCTGCCTGGTTTCAGTCTCTTTGTGGCACCCACCACTTCTGGAACGGTTTCTTCACGTACTTACATGTTCACTGTGTGCCAACTTCACCTTGTCCTCGTCCTTTCTGCTGGCTCCTGGACCAGGGCTTGTGCCTCCCCTGTGGCTGGCTATTACTTGCTGCATGCTGAATGAATGTGACCACACAAGTGACAGCCTGCCACAACTTGAGCCATTGTTCTCTTGCCTGCCTCAATCCAGGGATCTCGCTGGGCAGGTGGCGGGGGGGACAGAGCTTTCATTAAGTATCCTGTGTGCCAGCATGGTGCCAGGTAACTGCATGGCTTTTGCAAAGTTCCCCACAGTGCTGTCTGCAGGGGGCCCCCAGGGATCCTGCAGGGAACATCTGTAGGGTGAAGGTGTGAGGGACAATTTCCTGGTGGTGGCGCTGGCCCTTGTGCCCTTGCTGTGCTGGGATCCAGGTGAGCACAAGGCAGGCTGGCTGGGGCGGGAGGAAGGGCCACACTCAGGCCCCACCCTGCCTTGCCAGGTGAGTGAGATGCAGAAGCTGGACGCACAGGTGAAGGAGCTGGTGCTGAAGGCGGCAGTGGAGGCTGAGCGGCTGGTGGCTGGCAAGCTGAAGAAGGACACCTACCTGGAGAACGAGAAGCTGATCTCGGCCAAGCGCCAGGAGCTGGTCACCAAGATCGACCACATCCTTGATGCCCTGTAGCTCCGGCAGGAGGGGGTGGTGCAGGCCAAGGGGAGTTGAGCACTGAGACGCAGGGGCTACGTGTGTGTGATTTGCAAAAGGCCTTGCCAGCTGGAGGAGCCAAGCCCCATTCCTGTTGGTGGGTGGGCAGCTGGGCTCTGAGTCTTTCCTTTTTTTACAGTTTTAATCCCACTAAAACCCAAACCTTTTTGAGTTTTGAACAAAGATGTTTTGACTGGCCCTGTCTTGTTCTGATGCTTGGAAGCCCCTGCTTTTTCTACCCGTTAATTCCTGATGTTTGGTCCTCTGGTGAGGATGTGTTTTTTTAAAACTGCATGTGACTAGGTGGAAATAAAGCAGAGACTGTGAACATTTGCTGAAGTTCTGTTGGAAATCACTTACAACTTATTCTTTAGGGCCAGCGTGGAATCAAGGGCTTTTTAACTCAGTAGTGGGTTTGTGAGGTATTTAGATTTTACATATTAGAACACTGGAGTATTAAATTTTTTATTAGTGCATGTTTGTGATACGGAATTACATTCATCTTGGGGAACTGGTACACACACATCACATCTTTGTTGTTTTTATGTCCCCTGGCTCCCAGAAGTCAGCACTAGAGCACACTCGAACCCATGCGGTGGACTGATCTGTCCGTCTCCTGCTTGGCCTGATGGAGGGATTGAGGGTCAAAGCAGAGATGGTTCTCTCAGGGGACAGACATGCAGGGCACCAAGCCCAAATCCAACTCCTCATCACCTCCTCCTTGAGGATACCTGTGGGAGACACTGACCCATCTGGTGGGAAGGGAGGCAGGGCGGGTCCCTCCAGGGGACTCCTTGGTGCTGAGCTGCAAGTGTGCTGAGTGGGGGTGCAGTAAGTGAGAAGGCCCTGTGGTGGCCAGGGCTCAGGATGTGGAGGGGATTCATGGAATGAGCTGGAGAGTGCTACATGGGGCTGGACAGTTGGATGAGCCCAGGAGACAGCTTTCGGGGGAACCTTACAATCAAGGGGAGCCTGAGCACATGAGAGACATGCTTAGATTGTGTTCCGGCTGAAGGTCCATGTGAGATGAGCCGAGAGCCCAAGGTGGTGAGTGCTGGGGATTAGATGGGATCCATAGTGCTTTTGTTCCTTGAGGTGTTCTTCCGGGCCTGCATCAGACGAAGTCAGGTCCCACCACAGCCTCTGCCCTCCTGATCCCTCTCCACCTCACTTCACTCAATGCCTGTGACTTCCACCTTGACTCCCGAGGCTGCAGGTTTTGCCCACTGTGCCCGTCGTTACAGCTACAGTTGTTCAGATTCACCATGTGGCACATGGGACTGTTCGGTGCAGGAGCACTTGGCACAGCTCAAGTGTGGGTGGGTGGGGGTTGAGAGCTGATGCTGCCACCACCCAATCTGGGCCGGTTTTGCAGGACTGGGCATTGAACCCAGGGCCTTTGCACTGAGCTGCATCCCCAGACCGTTTTATTTTTAAATTTTTATTTATTTTTGTACTGCCGTTCCAACTCAGGACCTTGTGCTGCCAGGCAGGCACTGTGCTGCTGAGCTAAATCCCTGGCCCCAGACCTTTTTATTTTGAGATGGGGGTCTTGATATGAAAATAGTGAGGTGGAGGTTATCTCGACCCAGAAAGTGTGGCCAAAGAAGAGAATCGGCCATGTGTGATGGTATATTCCTGTAGTCAGAGATACTCGAGTCTGAGCCAGGGGGATCTCTTGAGTATGCAAATTTAATAACATTTTGAGTAACAGACCTCCCAACCACAGAATATCAGGACTGCAATAAGTGGTCATTTGGGAGGATATCACTTGACTGGTTAAGTGTAAGAGAAAGACCAGGACACTGGTGTCAGGAAGCCAAGTGAAAGGATGTGTTGAGGGCTGAGCCGTCAGCAGGTGCTGCCAGGAGGCCAAGCAAGAGGAAGACTGTGATGCCCCGGCTTGGAGTGGGTTCACCAAAAGACCCACCCACGACAACGACACCAAGGCCATCTTTCCCGTGGGTAGGAGCTGGGCCGAACCCGGCTCCCTCTGCATCTGGGGATGCTTCAGAAGCAGGATCCCTGGGAGCTGATCTAGGGTGGGGACAACTCGGGCATCCGGGGACAGAGAGGTCTGGCTTCTAGGATCGGGGCGACTTGGCGCATCCTGTGGCCACAGGATTTCCGAGCATCGGTTTCCTCGAGTACGAACTACAGCAGCGCTGTCATCCACTGCCCGCTGCCGAGGACGGCTGTGAGTAATAAAAGCCAAGTGACACAGCAAGTGCTCACCACTTGGTGATGGCGCTGCTGCTCCAGTCCCTGCGGATTGGGTCCTTGGGGTGCTGGGAACGGCAGGGCTTGGTGATCATCAGTGTTCCCGGGTAATCCTGGGGCCTCTGGCAGAGCCCTCGCTCCCCCAAGAGCTGCCAGGTCCCCACCCTTGGGTGCGTCCAGCCTCCTCGCAATCCCCTTCCCTCAGCCCCAGGAAACCTTGCTCCTTCCTGGAGCAAAGTCAGGAAACTGCTGCCGAGGACTTCGCTCTGGCCACGCGCTGGGCGCGGGCACCCTCTACCAGGCCGGCGGCTGCTCAAAGGCGAGAGACCGGGCTGCGCGTGCGCGCTGGTGTCGCCACGAAACCCACTGGTATCTCACTAGGGGGCGCCAGTCCGGAAGGGCGAGCACGCAGGCGTCAATCGCCTGCTCGGCCCAGAGGATTACCGCATGCGCAGGGCTGCCCCGCCTTAAAGAACCCACGTTCGGGCTTTTCCGGGAAGCCAATTCTCTGGCTGGGGCGCCACCTAGCGATGCAATAAAGGATCGGTTTCCCCCGCTCTGACCGGAACTAGGTCTGGGGTCGACAAGCTCGGAGTTGCAGGCTGCTGAGGGTCGATGGGCGGGAGCTGGGTTCGCAGATGCCTCGCCTAGGCCATGGGGCCAGCTAAGCTTGCAGAGTGGGTGTTCCCCACAGCACCCTGGGCGGGACCGCGGAGAGGCACCCCCAACCCACCCACCCACCCTATGCTAACCCAGGCATCCTTGGCTCTCTTGGGCCCAGCGCCTTGAGCTATGAGCAGCCTTGCGCTTCGCCGCCCCTTGGTTTTCGCCGTGGTAAATAGAGCCTCAGTTTCTCCCGTGTAAATCTCAGGGTGGGGGTGCAGTGGGGTCCTGGTGCAAAGCCTTGGCTCAGGACAGGCCTCCCTGGGCGTACGGTGACATGCCCAGGCACTTGGCACCTCTACTTTGGCTTTGGACCCAGCATTCCCCCTCTGTGGCCTGCACGTTGAGTGAGGAGTGGTCCGCACCTCCCCCGCCGCTGTCCAGGTCAGGTCCCCAGGGTGGCCTGGTCCATGTGACCCTGGCCATCATGAGGGTCCCGGTGGCCTGGGTCAGGGCTTCTCCTTGCTGCAGCCCTGAGATGTCCCTGCAGCCATCAGTTGGGTGTGAGGGACCTAACCCTGCCAGGTGCCTGCCGCCCAGCCCCTGGCTCAGAAAGGGGCAAACAAGGCTGAAGAAGGGCTGGGTGTCACTCTCTGCCTCCATTTGTCTTAGAGGTGACATGGGAGAAAACCCCAAAGGACCAGTGCACGCTCACAGTTTCACCACAAGTATCCTGACCGGGCGTCTGGTGCCGAGCTGATAGTGCAGGCCCCGGCCGCAGCCCTGCCGGAAACCCGCTCTGCCAGCGGTTGGGGGCCACAGGCTCAGACAGGAAGCACCCCTGAGTGTACCTCAGGGCCCATGGCCTCCCCAGAGGCTGCTGACTTGGACCAGGCCAGGCGCCATCTTGAAGCTGGGCCTGGACCTGGGCTGGTGTGGCCTGAGCTCTGGCAACTACACTGTCGCCTGGGAGGTGATGGGAAGAGAGGACCTCCAGGCTGGGCCAGCCCCAAGCCCAGAGCTGAATGCACCCTCTGCGCCACCATGGCCGTGCCCCTCCATGGTGCCCCAACCCAGCCCTTCAGAGTCTTAGCTCCCATCAGCCTGTTGGTGCCCACTGCACTGTGCCAGGCCCAGTACCAACCACAGGGCACAGAAAAGGGGCATTGCAGTGGGAGTCCTGGGCCTCGGAAGGGTGGACAGAGGTGGAGCCGTGGCTAACCTTAGGGGCCAAAGAGTTTGTGAGGGGGCTGATGGTGAGGGAGACCCAGGGTCTACACTCCCCTTCGACTTGTGCTCATAGGACAGAATCCAGAGAGATCATCCTAAGACGGGTGTCTCTGCCTGTTTCTGCTGCTGTAACAAAAGACCACAGGCTGGTGGCTCAGACACAGGTTCTGGAGACCAAGAAGCCCAGTCCAGGGCATGGCAGTTTCAGTGTCTGGCGATGTCTCACTTCCTGGCTCACAGATGGTGCCTTCAGCTGCATCCTCACAAGCTGGGGAGGTGAGGAGCCTGCATTTGTAAGGTCACTTGCCTCATTCACGAGGTGATCACCTCCCAGGACCCTGAGCTTCAGGGATGAATTTCTACATAGGAATCAGGGTGGAGTGAGGACAAGAACATTCAGTCCATAGTTGTGGGAAAGACGGGATCCATCAGATTGCCTGTGGGAAAGAAGCCAGTAACAGTAACGGGGGCTGCAGGTGGAGGGGAGAAGCAGCCAATCAGGAGCCCAGAAGAGCCAGGTGGGCTGGATGGAGGACTCAAGGTGGAAGTACCCAAGTGGCCCCAGCCTGACTGTGCCTGGCACTGCCCTGGAAGTAGAGGGATTGGTTGCCTCCCTGGACTCAGCAGTTCCAACAGATCGTTTCGCACATGTCTTCGCCTCATGCCAGGGACCAGGATAGCCCCGAGGGGTCTAAGGAAGGAAATCATTGCAGAGAGGTGATGCGGGGTGGGGTGGGGTGAATGGATCTAGTCCAAAGGGCAGGGAAGGCATCCTGGTGTGGAAGAGTGGCCTGCGAGGCCCTTCATCTTGCCAGCCTGTCTTGTGCCACCTCAGCCAGGGCCCTGGGGCTCCAGACCTCCAGCTTCAAGTCAGGCTCCACCATATGGCTCCCGCAGGCCTGGCCACCTCAGTGCCCTGGTGCTCCTGCCCCAGCCTTCAGTGTTGCACCCACGCCAGGCCTCGCTCGGACTACTGCCCAGCTCCTTGAGGCTCGTGGGTTATTTCTCTTTTCTCTCTTTCTCTGTCACTCACTTTTTGGTAGTGGGGATTGAACCTAGGGCTTTTTTGCTGAACTGTATCCCCAGCTCTTTTTCTTTTTTCTTTTTTGGTACTAGGGATCAAACTTGGGACCTTGCGCTTGTGAGGCAGGTGTTGGAACCACTGAGCTAAATTCCCCGGCCCTCTTTTTTGTTTGTTTGTTTATTTGGGGGGGGGGTTGGTACCAGGGATCAAACTTGGGACCTTGCACTTTCGAGGCAGGTGGCAGCACCACTGAGCTAAATCT